TTGTATTTTTTCGCGAGGGGCAATGATGTCGATGTCGGTGATGTTGGTGTAAAACGTTTGCACGTGTGAATCGATGAGGTTGTTGAGCTGCAGCCATGGGCGTCTGATGGAACTTTCATCGGGCGGTTGGAGTAGAAAGTCGATATCCAGTTTGGGAATACTATTTGTCCTTGATGGATGCCCTGGTGCTGGAGGTGGCGGCATAGCAGTGCTGGCTTCTTGTATGGAATCTGACTTTGACTGCTTGTTTCCCATCGTCACTCAGGCGGTATCGTCACTGTAAAAAGTATGACTCAGCTACTTGCAAATTCTTGAGGACAGAGTCGTAGGAAGAACCAAAGCCTTGTCTATTTTCTTTTGGTATGAGGAATATGAAGAATGGTCGAAGAAACAAGAAGGAGCCAGGAAGGAAATTCGGTGTGCTTGTCAGAAGACAATGGCGTGGCACTCAGGCGCTGCCACAAAGCACTCGAGAGGCGAATGACACAGTGTGGTGGGAGCCTGAAGAGGCGCAGCTGACAGGTGTGTGCATGACCTGACTGACTGGGTGACACGGCACGCAATATTCATGCCCCGTCCGATGAGCTCTCCAAACCGCCCACCCCATCAAAATCCATAAGGCGACCATGCTGCTATCGTGATCTTCCAGCAAATAGGCTTGGGTCGCGGGGCACCCACAGAGGCAGCCCCGAGCGCTTCATCGGGGCTGGATCCGGTCGATCAATGCAATATCGTCCGAGGCAGTGCTGCGAGTGTTGTGCCACAACCGCAGCCTTGCGGCTGATCATGATTTGCTGGGTACTTGTAATTCCAGGGACCCTTTGTGCTTTTTCCCATGGATCGTAAGGTAAATTCCACACTCTTCTCACCTTATCGCCCACAACAGCCATCGCGGACACCAGACCACACATCGTCACTTTGCATTGTGGACTATTTCCTTGGCCGTAGTACCTAATTTTGCCCATACTGCTTCTCACGCCAGGCCTCTCGCTTGTTGGCAAACAGTGCACAGTGAGGCGTAATTACCCCTGCCAGCCATGGCTCCAAGACCAGACGAAGCCGACTTGACGGTCGGCATCGACTTTGGCATGACATGCACAGGCAAGTCTTCCTTCTACCTTGGGGTATCCGACTCCAAACTAACTTTGCACAGGCGTTGCTGTTGCCAAAAAACACCAAGAAAGCCCCCGCATGATCCAAGAATGGCCTCTACCAGATCAAAAGTCCGGAACACACAACAAGGTACCATCAACGCTGCTCTATAACCATAACCATGATGTACCCACAGCATGGGGCTTTACTTGCAACAACCACGAAAAGACCGTAGAGTGGTTCAAACGGTATCTTGATGAGAAGTATCTCAAGCTCATGATCCAACGAGCGCAAGAGAATGGCGAGGAGCCCGAGTTCGAAACCATCGAACAGGTCCGCAAGTATTTCAGAGATTACATGGAGCGCCTCTACAAACACATCAGCAGGAATCTTCAAAAGAACGAAGAATGGAAGCACAAAAAGGTGGAGTTTGTCTTCAGCCTTCCAGCCACGTTCCAGTCTCTGGAAATCAGTGATGCTCTCATGAAAGAGATCAAAAAGGCTGGTTTCGGGACTGGAGGGAAGAATCACAGTGTATCCTGGGGGTTGTCAGAGCCTCAAGCTGCTGCCGTGTACACCGCCAAGGACGGGGACATCACCATCCGTACAGGGGACGTTATCTTGACCTGCGACGCAGGCGGTGGTACCACCGATTTCGCATTGCTTGAGCAGTGCGGCACCGCCGAGGTTGTCGAGCTTCGAGAACGCGCCATTGTTCAGGGTATCAACATCGGCTCCACAAACATTGACCTGGCATTCGCAAAGATGGTCCATGACCGTTTGGCACTGGCAAAGGCAGACACCAAAGCCGGCCGCTCTCAGATCATCTTCCAAAGGAATGCCGAAGACATCATGATGCATAGCGAAGAGTTTCAAACGTGGAAGCACGAGTTTGGCAACTTCTCTGAAGCCCAGTTTCGGACGCCAAGAATAACGGTACCCATCAGGTCAGGAGGCACCTCGAGCACATCAGCGAGGATAACAGATGGCAAAATGAACTTTTCATAGTAAGTACACCCGCAAAATGACCCGAAGCGAACCGAATATCCCACTGACCTGGCTCATTAGTTCCGACTTTCAAGATCTCTTTGATCCAGAAGTTGAGGGCATCATCAACGCCATACGTCAAATGTTGGAGCATGGTGCCAAGGCCGGTGTTCCACGACCTGTAAGTCCCTTCTTCACCGCAAAAGAAAATAGCCGCTAACACACCTCCCAGAAATATTTCATCTTATCTGGCGGGTTGGGAAGCTCAGCCTATGTTCAGCAAAAGATCAGGGAAGCTTTCCCGCTCCCCATCAAGGTGGTAGCTGCCGACGGGGATGAGCCTCCACTTGCCGTTGCAAAGGGTCTCGTCCTTGACCGCAAGCAAAAGGCACGTCATGGGAAGCCAGTGCTGGGCATCCGAAAGGCTCGAGTTTCTTATGGCGTCGTTACGCAAGAGAAATGGGATCCACAGAGGCACGAGGAATACGAAAAGATACAGTCCGGCCTTGACGGCGAGTACGTGGTAGAAAACCGGATCAAGTGGGTGATCAAAAAGGTGAGTCTCCAAAATCTTGGTTAATGAAGAGTCAGTACCTTACTAACCAGTCACAGGGACAAGACATTGACACGCAAAAGGGCGTGCACTGCAAAGGGTTTAGTAAAGCCTTCAACAGCCGTAATCATCCGGGGGTTTCTAGAAGGGAGCTTGTGATATGTCATCGGGACAAAGACGACCTGCCCAACACTAAAACAGACGGTATGTTACTCCCTACTACATCGTCACAGCCATTTTTTCCAGAAACTAACAGTACCGCAGTGGACATCTTTCCCCTTTGCACAGTCGAATCTGATCTCTCAAAAGTAGACAGACGACACATCGAAACACACACCAGATATGTCAGAAAACCCGGAATATTTGGAAGGCTCACAAAGGAAAAGCAGGAGTATTACGAGATCAAGTATGATGTCTCCTTTGTGGTGGGGGCGCTTGATGCCAGGTTTGAGATGTGGATCGATGACAAGCAGTATGCGGATAAGAATTCCTTTACAATAGAGTGGGAGGAGGAGGGGCTCAAGTCAACACCTGGGTGATAGGTAACTTTTACCAGAGTAGATTTCATGTCATACCTAGCTCAAGATACCCAACTTCACAAGACTTCAAGCCCTTCACATTTCAAGCCGGTGGGCCTTGAGGATCATGATCAACTGCCGATTTCACCCACCCATTCCCACCACACCCCACCACCTGAACCGATCAGGTTGTCTGCTGGGTTGCATCACGTCAGCAGTGCGTGTTGCGGCTGCGAAATGGTGCGCAGCAGCTGTGCAAGGGCCAATAGTGCCTTGAAGGCACAGCCCAATCAGGGACAGGCATTTCTTCGCCGGCCATGGTGGCGAAGCCAAACGTGTGGTCGCATCACGCCAGACCTCCGGGACGCCCAGGGAGTCATTAGAAATCAAGCATTCGGCACATCATGCACCTCCAGGGCGGTACATGCCCCCGGTTTCCGCCAAAGGAAGTAGGATGCGCCCCAGCCCGCAAGCCGACGACCCTTTTGGAACACTGACCGAGATGGATCGCGAACCATGGTTGCCCTGAGCCTTTCTACACCTACCATAAAAAGCAATGGTACCCCGGGAAAGTCTTATCTGCAAAGACCTTTTGTTTCGACAAGAAGGTAGCTTTCAACATGACGGCAGTCATAGAACCCATCACCACAGGCCTGAGCCTCTTCAACGAGTCTTTCACAGCTGCCCAAACCATCACAGCTTTGATTGGCGCCCCCGAAGAAATTCAACGCGCTGTCCGATTAATCTCCAGCGTCCAAGCCGAGATCACCAACGCAAAAGCCCTCCGCGACAGAGTCTTTGATGTCACCAAGTCCGAAACCGCCCGTGATGAAGACTTCAAAGAGGTCCAAGAAGCCATCAGGAATCTCGACAACCTCATCACCTCCAGCGCTCGTTCCCTCCAAGCCAAGCCAGAAGATGCATCCTCAAAACGGGGAGACAAACACGCCAAACGACCAAAGACGTCAGTTAAGAAACGGTTCGGCTGGGTGACAGGCGGTCAATCCCAGCATGATTCCAATATGCAACAACTTCAAGTCCACTACCAGCGTTTCGTGGCTGCCAAGACCCTGTTACAGAACCGGTCGCGAGAGTCAGCTCAGGGCAGCCCGTCGTTGCCGTTTGGCGACTTTGAGGTGATGCACTCCGAATCCCCCAAGATCGGCTACAACCAGAGCCCCACCAGCAGCAACCAGTTGCTTCTTTTGCCTACGAGTTCGACGGGGCATATTCCCGTGTCTCCAAGAAGGAGTATGGAGAGGATGCTATCGGAACAGGAGGAGTCAGATCTGGAGCGGTTGAGCACCACGCAGAGTAGTGATGGTGGGCTTGGTAGTCAACAAGGTGAGCGAGCAGCCATCCCTTCCATTGAATTTCTACTTGGCTGGCAGCCCGGTCACTGACATTTGAACTTGCAGTCCCAACACCACCCCCGACCTCACCAACCCCTGATCGTCCTGATGTCTTGATATGGAGTGTCGAAGAGCCATCGACGGTGGAGGACACCTTCTTTGAGCGCAAGCGTAAGAGGAGAAGAAGGGATAGTTGAAACAACAGGAAAGGACAACCATGAATAACAGACAAAAATCAAAACTTGCCCTCAGGCCAAAATCTCCAATTCTTTTCCCTTGAGGCACTTTCCTCTTCCCACCACTTGCATCTCCAATCCTTTCCATTATGTTGGCCCAGATCGCCTGTCCTGGTTTGACGTGCAACCTGTCCCCTGCCGACTCCCTTCACCCAACCATCAACAAAGCAAAATCTCTAACATATCTTTCCCTTCTTCTCATTGTCAAAATCCCTCAACCCCCCAACCAAAAAAGCAACCCCCTTATACCCCCTCAAAAAATGGGCTCAATCGGGATTCGAACCCGAGACCTCGCACATTCTTCATCGGATATCCGACGGGGCTTCTTTTAAGCTTTGGAAAGCTTCAAGAAAATCCCGAAGCGCGAATCATACCACTAGACCATTGAGCCTGTTTTTGGATGACAGATGCCAACGGATGTTCAATACTTTGATGGGGCCTGCGTGGCTGCTCCCCTCACCACCCACCGCATGAGTCAGCCCGCTCCGGGGCGGGGCCCACCAACCAATCAACCAACCACCGGGTTTTTATTTACATACACATTTTGTCCCCACTTTTGACCCCCTTTTCCCTCCTCCCTTAATTAGCACAACAACCAACACAGCGGAAGAAAACATTTAAAGAGATAGGTTAGACAATGAAAAAAGAGCACGGATTATTTGCTAGGGAAAGGCGGGTTGTGGATTCTGGTCTCGACGACGGTGAAGGTCTCGCCGGATTCGATGTCTTGGATCTGGAGGCCCCCCGCCCCGTCAGCAAAAAAACAAAGAAGAAGAAAAAGACAGGTGTGCGTGGAGCGAAGGGGGGTTTCATGATGGAGGCTCCCAAGAAGGACCGGAAAAAGGCAGGGAAGAGCGATGGGTTACATGTAAGGTAATGTACCTACCTCGTATAGCGTCGCTGCTGTCTTGCTCGTAGGTTCCATGACTGATTTCACGATGCCGAGGGCTTCGTCGCCTTCTGCGCCTGTTTGGTTTGGTTTGCTTCGTCAGGATCCCTAAATAAAGAGAAGAGGGAATACCTTTGTAGATTACGGCGTCCCCGATTTCGTGCATGGTTGCTGATAGTGCAGGGAGAGGTGTACTGATTGAATGTGGTTTCTGGTTTGTCGATGTCTCTGCTGCAAATGAGTGGAATTGTCTGTCGTTTTGGAGAGAATTAACTGAGGTGCAGAGAGATATCGTGGCGGTCGTGGTCGAGTGCACAGTTGCGGCAAGTAGGTTGGGAATCGAGAGGGTACCAGACAGTATGTGGCCATCACGTCACGATGACCGCTCGACCATCCCAATTCTGTGTGCGGGTGCAGTTTGCAAGGATGGGACAGTATCTTCGGGGCGTTCCCAAAATTGGGTAGAGTCCAAGCACCAGGCTGTTGCAGAGAATATTGGTGGAAGGTCTTTGTTTGCCATGAATTGGAAAGGGAAAGGCGAGAGGGAGGAACCAAGTAATAGAAGCATTCCGGTCGGTCTGTGGGAGTTGTGTCCAATGGGGCCGGGCAGATGCGGCGAGTGTTAGGTGATCAAGAATATTTCAGTGTTGTGGTTGCATGCGACCATCGTGAATCGCACATAGCTTTTGCGATGTCACTCTACCTGCGCGGCAGCGATGGTCATGATGAAAACAGAAATGGCATATGGGAACGGTGGGCATCGAGACAAGAGGTAGCTGGTTAGGATCACAAAAGACAGAGGGACAGAGGGACAGAGGGACAGAGGGACAGAGGGACAGAGGGACAGAGGGACAGAGGGACAGAGGGACAGAGGGACAGGGGAAAACCAAGTCAATTCTCAACACCATAAAAAACATCACCATGTCACACACATCACAGGCACAAGTCACACTGCAAAAAAGGGACAAATTGTCAACACCAAAAACAACACCCCCATGATAATACATTATCCAACCCCAAAAACACCCCCGTATCGTTACATAGCTAGTACAATGACCGTTTTGCTGTGCATACCTGTCCATTCGGCAGCGCCACTTGACGCTGGGGTGTGGGGAAACCCAACAAAACCCACACCACAGGTAGCAAATCCACAGAGGGCAGAGGTTAGGCTGCTTACCCCCATGGCCGCGACTGACGTCCTAAATCTACAACCAGATCACGGGCTGGCACCACCAGATAATGTCGCTGATGGCTGTCGCTGTCGTCCTCGTCCGCCGTTGTCCAATCCGCCGAAGTCGTCCATCTCGGTCCTCCCAGCACCCAAAGAGTCCCCAGAGTTACTAGCCCCAGAATCCTTGCACCATGGTATGCTGCCGAATGAATCCACCCCAGCAAAAAGTCCTCCGTCGTCCTCCTCCGACCCGACCATGTCCTGAGCGCCGAAAGTTGTCGTGAAAATCCGCCCGATGCTCCCCAACCAGTGTTCGCCGTGCCCAAAGCTCCAAACCTCAGACGCCGTGCAGCGTAACCCAGTTGTCGAACGAACCCAGACTCCCCTCATCCCAGGACACGTTGTTGAAAAGAAAAAGAGCCGACCTGTACACTGTTAGCAGAAACAAAAGGGGGCATACTTGTACCTTGAAGCTCCTCCCGAGCTGTGATCCCAAAGTCCTCCCATCCCAATCCTCTGAGCGTAAATCCTCCATCCCAAAACCGTTGTCGACCAAATCCTCCTCCAAGCCAAAACCCAAACTCCAACCCAAACCCAAACCCAAACACCGATGACAATCCCTCCCAATCCTCCAACCCAAAACCAATCCTCCATCCAATCCTCCCTACCAATCCTCCAAACCAAACTCCAACTCCAAAACTCCAAACGCCAACCCAAATCACAACCTCTCAATCACCAACCCATCCTTCCTCGCAATCCGGACAACCTTGTTGAGCGTATTGTCCTTCTGACGCTGATAGCCAACGTCAGAACTCCTTATGCTCCGAAACAAGGTCTTCATCACTTCAGACGCTTGATCCGGCTCAAAGGGGGTGTCATCGTCCTCCTCACCACCGATATACGTCTCAATATCGCTAAAGAGACGCCGACGCCAGGCGTCAACATCGACACACTCCTTGATCAAGCGATCGGCGAGAGTGCGCAACTCCAGACCAGTCCAAAAGACCGTCCGAGCTGGTGGGAGGGCGGGAGCCTGCTGAGCAATGGACGACTCGGCAGGGTGCGGCTGCTCAACCTCCATCACAGGGGCAGGAGGCGGGGCAACGGCAGCGACGACAGGTGCGGGGCGACGCCTCTTGGTCACGGTGTCCCGGAGTTCGGGGTCGTGATCCTGCTCCTCCTTCGCAGAGGTGGGACGAGCAGGGGCGAGGACAGAAGCGTCGGGCGGAAGGGGTACCGTGTTGCCAAAGGCGCGACGGCGACGCATGGGTGCCAAAGGGCGAGAACCAGGCGGGGGGATCGGTGCCTGCTGCTCATCGCCATCGGGGATGACGGGAGCGACGACAGGTGGGAGAGGCTCAACAACTGTGGGTGCCACGGGGGCGGGGACCACTGGTGCTGGCTGAGGCATTGGGGCTACCTCGGTGACTTGGGGAACACTCGGCTTCGGCAGCGGCAGCGCGAGTGTGGGAAGCGTGAGCTGGGCCTGGGCTTCGCTCGGAGAAAGCTTCTTCACGAACTTCCAGCCGGGGCGGGAAGGGATCGGAGGCGGCGCGGGAGTGGGTGCTGGAGCAGGCTCTTGCTGCTTGGGAGCTTGGACCTGCTGGGGGTGAGAACTCGACGCCAGAGTGGGAGGAGTAATCACCAAGTTGACTGGGCCAACAGGTGTGTTCCGTGGGAGGGGCTGCTGTGGCGAGGTTTCCACCGGAGTGGGAGAGACCATCACCAAATTGACTGGGGCAGCAAGCCGTCTCTTGGGAACGACAAGCTCGGGCTGGGGGAGCTGCTGAATAACCAAGTTGCTTGGGGCGACAACTCGGTTCCTCTTGGGCTGGACAACCGCTTGCTGGGGTCGAACCTCCTTCACAGGGGCGGGAGGAACAACCACGTTGACTGGGGCAGCAACGGGTGTCGAGACAGCCATGACCGGGACGGGAATCGGGGCCAGGGGTGGAAGAGGCAGCTGACCAGCGGGCAAAGGCAGCTGAACAGCCGGGCGAACAATCTCGAACTCGGTGACTTCGTTGTTAGTCACTGCCGGAGCAGCGACCGTTGGCTTGACCAACGAAGGCACACCAAACAGTCTCGGGGCGAGCGTGAGAGCTGTTGGCTTGAGGTCGAAAGCAGGTCGACCGAACCGTTTGAGGAAACCCCATGACCCCTGCTGAATCAGGGCCATGGGTGTGTGAGCGCACTGGATGGTGAGTCCAGCGAAGAAGAAACACAGCTCGTCCATCACCGAAGGGACAGCAGCGGGCGTGAACGCGGGCTGGGCGACTGTCATGCTCTCGGGAACGAAGTGACTGAGCTGCTGGGGTGGGACCGCGACGAAGGCGGGAGCAGACTCAGCCAAGAGCATCTGTGGTGGCTGGACGAAATGCTCCTTTCGGGGGAAAGGATCATAGCTGTGAGGCATCAAGCCCCGGAAAATCCCAATGGGTACGCGAAAGGGATTGGACCGGAACTCGACGGGCTCAGGTGGCGGTACTGGAACAAATGAAGGTCAGCAAAAGGGCAAACAAACAAGACCAAAGGCCAAAGGGGAAATGGAAAGGGAAAAGGGAAAAGAGAAAAGGGAAAAGAGAAAAGAGAAAAAACAAAAGGCTCACGTGTATATGAGGTCTCGACGAGAGGACCCCGTGCGGCAGGCAGTGGGCGACTGCGACCGTCTTCGAGCTCAGCCCTCTTGGCAACGAGCTCGGCCTTGCGACCAGCAACGACAAGGTCGTTCTGGTTGTATACGGCCTGGCGGTGATAGATCTCACACCAGACGTACACAAGTGCAAGGATCCAGAAAGGACCGTCCAGGAGCGAGACAACTGAAGCAAAGTCAGCAATTGACGATCAGAATGAGCTGGGATAGATGAAACTTACGGAAACGGTGCACCATCTGGAGCCAACAACCCTTCTTGGACCAATCCTTCACGAGAGGGCGTCGGTCGCACACGAGGGACGGCAGGTCAGGCCGAACCCCACGCTCTCGGTGTCGCTCGCGGCAGACCGCCACGAGTTCCTTGTGGAGACCTTCGAAATGGTCCCGTTGCTTGTTTTCGGCGTCCAGCAAGTGCTGGCGCCGGGCGCGAAGTCCTGCAAGAGAGACATCAGTAACAATGGGGAGACAACCACTCTTACCGAAGACCTCATCTTGGAAGGCCAAGCATGGGTCGAGCTGCGACTGGGAGGCGTTAGCAACAGACACGACGGAGGGGGGGAGAGTCGCTTCACGACGGGAGGATCCGACGCGAGAGGCGAGAGAGACGATTCTGTCGACAGAAGACATTGCGGTCCAAGTCGAGTCGAAAAGTTGCGTGTGTAAAAAAGGGGAAACGTT